GCCTGTGTCCGGCCCGTGTGGTGCCCGTGCATGCCAGCGGGAGGAACTATTGTGAGTCTCTGCTGGCCCAGACAGGAACTTCTGCGTCATTTCATGGAATCCTCACCACCCCCCTGTGGGTGTCACCCATTATCCCCTTCACCCCCGTTCCCCAGCTGAGAGAAGGAGCTCAGAGACGAAGGGATGTGCTGAATTTTCGTGCTGCTGGACCTGTGCAAAGCCGGAACATGAACCGAGCCCTCTGCCTCCGAGCTGATCTCACTTGAGGGGTCGGGGTGGGGGAGCCCACAGGGGTGGAGGGCACAGAGCACTTTCTGTGTTCCCTGATCCTGGCTGCACACCACGCCTGGGTCTGGCCCAGACATGCCTGCCCTGCCCTCTCTGGACTCAGTCTCCCCATCTGTTACGCTAACTAGACTGGATTTCATCTCTGAGGAAGGCCCTTTCGGCCTGGAATTCTTCAGGTTCCCCAGGAGCAAGCAGTTTATCCTAAAGCTGGTTCTGTGTCTGCAGGGGGAGCAGGGCGACGATGGCAAGGCTGAGGGGCCGCCCGGGCCCCCTGGAGATCGGGTAAGCCCCCCACTTCCATCCCCTGGACTGGATGGCATCCTAGGTGGAGCCGGGGCCTCCCGCCGTGGGGGGAGGGGCAGGCTGAGCAGGGGCAAGAGCTCTGCAGAGGCTGTGGCCAGCGGCCCTGGCTGGCATCCTCTGTGCCTGGTGGTCCATATTTTGCTATTGTACTTGCCATTCAGGGCCCTGTGGGTGATCAAGGAGACCGCGGGGAATCGGGGGACCCTGGCTACCCTGTAAGTATCAGAGCTCCTACCTGCTGGCAGGATCGGGGGTGTCATAAGAGAGGGCAGCCTTCACCAGGACACAGGCCTTCCTCTCCCACCATCAGCACCCAGGCCAGACACACAACACCCCTTTGAGGCCCAGGACCTGCATTCACACTGCAAGGGGAAGGGTTCTTTCCTGAGGGCCGGATAGGATGAGGTGAGGGAGAGAGACCATCTGCGCCTTGTGTCTGCTGATGGTTTCCTTTCAGCATGGTCCTGAGTAGCCCCTTCCCCTCTGAGGGCCTCATTCTCCCCATCTGTGGCCAAGAACAGCTCTCCCAGCAGAAGCAGTGACAGCCACCAAGGCCTCTCCTTCATCCATGTGGGTGGGGTTATTGTTCCACCCATTTTGCAGACGAGGAAGCTGAGACCCAGAGAGGGACAGTGACACGTGCCTAGGAAGAACTAGGGCTTCCCCTGGTTCTGCCCTGGCCCCCAGCCCCTGGCCCCCAAGATGGGCCCCCTCACCTGTCTCTCCTTGGCTTCCAGGGACAGGAGGGTGTGCAAGGCCTCCGTGGAAAGCCCGGCCAGCAGGGCCAACCCGTGAGTGGTGCTTCCTGTCCCATCCTGCCTCCTGCCCTGATGGGGGTGGAGCAGTGGGAATTAAAGAACTGGGCCCTTTAAAGCTTAAAGGGACCCCTCCCCTTCCCCCTGTAGGAGGACCTGGGGCAGCCCATCTGGTTTCTCCTGCCCTGACCCTGGGGGCAGCCCCAGAACCTGCACCCCCAAACCCCTCCCCACACCTCCTCCTCCAGGCGGAGACTGGCCACACTCCCCGGGAGAGAGTCCTGGGGCTGCCTTGCGTCATCTCACCTTGGTTTGCAGGGGCATCCGGGACCCCGGGGGCTGCCGGGACCCAAAGGATCAAAAGGCGAAGAGGTAAGAGAGCTGGATGCTCCCTTGGGAGACTGAGGCCCAGGGAAGGGAAAAGGCTGGCCCAGGGTTGCACAGCAAGTCAGAGGCAGGGTTGGGAGGGAACTGAACCAGCGCCCACCGTGAGCCCTGCAATGTGCTTCGGGCCATGCTAACATTTCCCTCCAAACAGCCCGAGGGAGTAGGGCTGGTCAGCTCCATTTTGCAAGGGCTCCAGGA